GAGCTGAAATAAACGCAGTATGGATTACCTTCGTAACACGGTATGTACACTTTGTTATTGGTATGCCATTTTTATTCTGACAGAATAAAAATGGCGTCACTGTCGAGCTATAACAGTTCGTGGGAGGTATACGTACAACCCCGGTCCAACCTTCTTTTGCCGAGTGTCGCGTCAGTATCGAGTTGCAATCGTAAAAGAACGTTCCCGAAGCGCTTACAAACAGCGCGAATACAAGACTTCCATCAAGCGCGCGCGTCCGCTCCGAGTGTAAACAGGTATTTACGTGGCTCTTGCTGACACTCGTAGTTCAAATGTATCTTTTTTAACGTCGGCTCGCTCCTGCATCTCCGAGGCCGCGAAAAACGCCATCTACGTCGCTTTGCAAACGACTGACACGGGCCGGCCCTTCTGCCAACAATGACGGGGTAATTGACTTCTGGAGTCTTCACCGGAAGACTCGCTCCACTTCCCAACAGGCATACCGGCGTATGGGACTAGTCCCATGCTGTCGCTGTAGCGCAACATATCTCATTGAATTTCGCTCAGCTCCGATGCGGCGATGAGAGGCGCCGATTCAGGAAATACGTCGGTGACATCAGCGCAGTAAAACCTACCGGCGCACCCAACTCGTTGCCGCTAAAGCGCGATCCAAACCAACGCTTCTTTTTGCGCCTGTAGGTCGTGCGGCTGCGGATGTGACGCATTTTCGTGACGTCGCGCCGCTTCTTCGCTCCTTCCGGGCGCGCACGAAGAAGTTGGTTGATTTCAACTTCTTTCTCAAGCCGCACAAAAAAGCGCGGTGACGTAGCAGGCCGCGCCTGTGTCCCGGCCAATCGGTGGAGGGCAAGCTAGTTCCGGCTCCGCGTTTCTCGCCGTCTGGCTGCCCTCTCCTCCCCCCCCCTCCCCCCCCCCCTTTTATTCTCTTCCAACATGACAACGCGATCTCTCTCCCTCTCTCTTTCTCTCGCCGGCCAGTCTGTCGCTGTTGCACTTTGCTTGTGCGCTCGTGCGCCCCCGCCCGTAGCTGGCCCGTCCAAACCAAAGCGCACGCTTCTGACTCAGAAAGCGCGCCCGGAAACAGCAAAAACGACGCGGAATGCGTCACATCCGCAGCCGCACGACCTACAGGCGCAAAAAGAAGCGTTGGTTTGGATCGCGCTTTACACTCCCATTCTCCTACTGCCGAGAGAACTTCCGGTTCCGGAAACGGCCTACGTCACGGCTTCTTTTGCGGTCAGTTGGAGAGAATGAAAAAGTCGATATTTCAATAATTTTTTGTGTAGAAGTTAATAAACCGAGACGAAAACGGATGCCTGTTCGGCATTCAGTGAACATTGACGGTTTAATGTAAAAGTTATCTGGAAAAAGTAAAAAGGTCGTTTCATGGTCCCTTTAACACCTGCCGCAAGTCGCGGCCTTGACTGCATTCAAGTTGATCGAAAAACGATTTCTCAGTCCGTGAAGCATCACTTCCGGCTGAGTGAATATCCGCTCTACAGAGATTAATTCAAGACGGCGATTGCAGCTTTGCGCGAACAGCACAAATAGAAAAACCAATAGAAATACAGGCTACGACGTGCCGTGTGGGGAAACAAACTCATGGCTTCGAACCGCATTGGAGCGGCTTGATTTATTGGCTTTCAAATAATTACGGCATGATCGAGCGTTTACTTTTTTAAAAAGAGATTCATCCCCTGAGCCATTCAAAATACTCTCGGAGGTATGACATTGCTATGAAAAAATCAACATGCTGGGAATCTTTTTTATTGCTTAGGGAGTCACCGAAAAGTTCCGTACATTCAAAACGACCAGTATAAAAGACGGAATCGCAGAGGACGGGTGTAGTGTTTGGGTTAGTGTGGTATTCAGTTGTATTGATATTTGAGTGTGCCGTGTATGTGCTCAATGTATGTTCACCTGATGCTTTTAATAAGCGTATGTGTGTACAGTAGAGGATCCCCAAGCGCAGTAGTAGCCTGAGAGAAGCAAATTCATTTTTCTAGAACATGAATTGGGCGGTACCTAGCGCCACCTAGCCTAGCTGCTTGCAATGGATGGATGGATGAATACGGCTGAGCCCTTTGGATCGGGCGGTAGCTTACGCCACCTAGCCATTTTGTTTTACCATTTAAGCTTAAAATATTTAAATGTGAAATCTATACACACTCCGCAGTGCAAAGAAAGTGAGGCTATGAAACCCCCTTGCCATCAGTGAATAAGAAAATACCTAGATTTCTCTCGATTTCTGCCAACATTCACTTAATCTTTGCTTGGTAATCTCTACAGTCTTGAAATCCACTCTCCCTTCGCTGTCTCTAAAACCCAATGACCTTATTAAATCTATGTTGTCTTCGGTAGGCATAGGATGAAGCCCTTTACAGTAGAGTATCAAGTGCTCAGCCGTCTCGTCCTCCTCTTCACAAGCAGTGCACACTGTATCCATTTCCTGGTACTTCACTTTGTATGTTCTGGTTCGCAGAACACCCGTCCTCGCCTCAAACAGCAATGAGCTTCCCCTAGAATTGTCATAAATGCTTTCTTTGGCAATAACTCTTTTGTTTAATCTATAGCTTTCCAGAGCCGTCTTTGTCTGCATTCCCTCTAGCCACCGATCTCTTTCTGTGGCCTTAACTTTCTCCTTAACTGAGACTTGCTCTTCCGTATCGTCGCTATAGCCCAAAAACTTTCCTCTTAATTTCCTAGTGCGCTGTCTCCACTTTGTGTCTACACTCCTCATGTATAAATAGCTGAAAACCTTTCGTGCCCATTGCTCCCCGCCCATTTGCCTCAACCTATCCTCAAATTCTATCTTGCTCACCGCTTCCCTGCTCTCAAATGACGCCCACCCCAAGTCTCCTTGTACTCCCTGGTTTGGCGTTTTGCAATGTGCCCCCAAAGCCAGTGTATACCTACTCCGCGCTGTTTTATTTCTAGTCTCGCATGCACTTCGGATTTCATGCATAGCACCGCGTTTCCGGAAGTCAAGCCAGGCATCATGACCACTTTCCAAATCTCTCTCACCACCTTATACCTGTTGTAATTCCAAAGTGCTCTATTTTTCATTACAGCTGCATTTCTGTTGCCCTTACCTATTATATACTTTTCATGCTCTCTGAGATATTCTGCACCATCACATATCCATACTCCTAGATACTTGTATTTACTAGCTTTCTCAACTGTAATATTCTGTATCTTCAGCCTCTCAACTTCATCCTCGTTAAAAATCATGACTGCTGATTTTTCGCTACTGAATTCTAAACCTAATTCCTCTCCTTCCCTACCACAGATGCTCATTAATTCCTGCAACTCTGTCCTGTTGCTAGCCATTAGTACGATATCATCCGCATACATCAATCCCGGTAAGGATTGCTGAATGTTTTGGCCTAGCTTACTGTAAGAAAGGTCGAATCCAAGCCCACTCTTCTCTAGTCTATCCTCCAATCCTCTCAGATACAACATAAACAGCAAAGGCGATAACGGGCACCCCTGCCTAAGGCCTCGTCTTATCTCTATTTTCCCTGTCGCCTTTCCTTCCCATGTTATAATCACCTTGTTATCTTTGTAAATGTTCCTTAATAGTGCTGTTAGTCCTTCATCTAGGTTTAAGCTCTCCATTATGTCCCACAGGTTCCTTTGGTTCACATTGTCATAGGCACCCTTGATATCCAGAAATGCCAGCCAGAGCTGTCTGTTTTCTTTTTGCGCTATTTCTATACACTGTGTTCTATACTATGCTTGACCCCGCCATCTGGTGGCTAGCGATTTAACCTTCTTTGACGCTACGTTCTTTCGAGAGCGGCTTTTGGTTTTGCGGATTGAGTTTGCCCTTCTCCGTGATGTGCGGTTGACGAAGGAATTGTGACTCGAGGAACACCAAAGGTAAGACGCAAAGTGCGCGAAGTAACTGGCTATCGGCTGTCTCCATTTAACATCGCAGTGCTATCGACGAGAAGACTGAGTAACTGCTTGCGAAACGCAAGTTTCTGTACCTGTGGGGGGAATCTGACTTCGGAAATAAACAGTTTGCGGAAAGCTCGTGTTGCGCTTTCATTTGCTTCTGCTCTCGTCCCGTTAGCGTCCTCGTCAAGCCTTATTGGACTCGATTCGCTCGATTCGGGGCCGCCATATTGAGGTGCAAGCGACGGAGGAACTTTGCTCCCCTGCTTCAGGGACGAAAGTTTCTCTCTTTCTAAAGGAGCATAGGTCACAAGACCGTTCCTCCCCTAAGGGAGGACTATCCATACCCTTTTTTCTAAGAGTGCAGCGTTCGACTCTGGTGCTACGCCGACTTCCACGACCGCGACGCTCTGTTATCTTTTGTACCCTTTTATTTTTGGCACAAGTTCGCCACATTAAACGTTTATTTATTCCTGTTTATTTCTTGTTTATTGGTCACCACCTGTGACAATATACATATATATATATTCTAGTCCTCGGGTGAAATACCCTGTATATACATGTTTGACAGCGTGGCCGCACAATTTGTGAGGATAGCTACCGGTCTAGTATTAACTATAGCTTGAATACGCCGCATCACGAGATCATAATTTCTGGTCCCGAGGTACTCGCAATAACATCGGTAAAGTCGCACTCACACTGTCATACATCAAACCAAGTATCCATGGCGTACTGCAGACAGGATAACATAATCATATCCGAACTCGCCTGACACATATTCAAAGATATTCAAAGGATGGTCGCTTCATACGTATGTATGCGCCACACATCTCTGCAGACAGTTTTGTATGACCAACGTGACTGAACCGCGCCATGCAACCAAAGATGGATGGATGGATGGATGTTAATGGCTATACCTTTGTAACGGGCAATAGCTTGAGCCACCTAGCCGAAGTCTAAAAAGACAAACAAGCCAATACAGTGTTTGCAGGCAGTCTTTTGTATGATATATTATCATTGTGACCGCGAAATAAGGGCTCATTTGAGCAGCGGTATATAGTTTGGCGTCTTTCCGAATTGGAGGGAACCGAGCGTTGACTTGCCTGTCTCGGTGGGCTATGTCGACGGAACTTAAAGATCCCCGATCCCACACGATGTCCATTTCTCCGGCGCAGGATCTGTGGGAGGAACACAAAATTAGGCCAAAATTACATCTGGCTATAATTGTATGTAGAGTCCCGGACGATATATGAAAAAGCCCAGGCGTGCTCTTGGCTGAGGGCTGCAGCGCTATTTATATAAGAAAGCTCATCATGCATTACCGAAGCTTCAGGGGCTCGTTTCAATGTTTGTCGTCACCCCCCGCTTAATTCGTTCTGATTTCAATGCCGATTGTAGAGGCGTTCTTCAACAAAATGCGAAACCGAGCGCAGCTGAAATCACCTATTCGGCAAGTTTGCGAAACAGTGTTCGAGCATTTTTTTCGTAAGGACTTTCTTCGGTAAGTCGTTTTTGGAGCACGCGGTTTCAAAATCATGAACAATGCATATGCTAAGTTCCGTGAAACAGTGTGTAAAGTTTAACAAGCGAATCGTAAAACTTCCGCAGCTATTTAAACGATCATCACGACTGCGTTAAACCGGCAGCGCCATCTCGTATAGTAAGCATTTGAAACGTGCGAATATGTTGCCTTGGTTTCACGGCGACACTGTTGTAAACCAGACGGCCGAGGTAACATTCACCGGTCGGGATTTCGAGAGTTTTGAAGCTTGATATAGCCTCGTCCCACTAGAGCGACAAACACCGGTTTTTGTCCGACGACACCACAAAGTTCCGTGTCGCCGATGCTGTCCCACTGCAACGACCGACACCCGCGACAATCGCCGACAACCGCCGACAAACGATCGACGACGGACGAGTTCTTGTCTGTCGTTGGACTTGAAGCTCAGCAAGCAGTCCCACTGGGGAACATCTCTCGGAGACAAACTTATCCTCCTCGCCCGTTTATGCTGTCTGTTGCCTTCCTCCCTCTTTCCCCACCCTTTTACCCTTCCTCCCGGAACGAGATGCCCTTGGCGGCCTCTCCTCGTTCCCGGCCCCGCAGTTCCGGTCCCTCGATTGCACGCAGGGTTGCCAGGTTGGGCTATAAATAGCCAAATTGGGCTAGTTTTATTTGCAGTTGGTGGGAAAAAATGGTAGTTGGCTATTTGGCTAGTATTGGGCTATTTCTAACCTGTGCATTGGGCTATTTCTGACCTGTGCACTGAGCAATTTCTGACTTGTGCTGGAACCAAAATGCCTGAAAGCACTTGGGTTTATAGGTTCGAATGTATTTTTAAAGTAAGTTACGTGAACATTTGGCGTTTCAGCCCCTTAACCCTGATAAGTTTGCGATAGCAAACTAATTCGTCTTCTTTTTGCGCGCTTTGTGCAATTGTTTACCTCCGAATGCAAGCCTGTGCTGTTATTCCTCCATGTCAACAAGTGACGGCGCGATTCCTTGCGGCCTTAACAGCACCTGTTCTGCGCATTGTTTAGGTTGTCTGAATTCTGCATAGTTCTCCCGTGACGTCATTCTGGTCACCAAGCGTCCCAATATAGTGGAAGGTATGTTGTCATGTGCTTATACGAGCGTTTCAGGAAGTTCGCCGAACCTGCAAGGGACGCCATTTCTGGGGCATTTGATGGATAAAAATGTATTATGTGTCTCTTCTTTTCAAAATAAACGTTTCAAATGGTGAGTTTTTTTGGGGCTATGTTTGGGCTATTTTTCTGGATCGACATTTGGCTATTTTTGGGCTATATCTCGTAGACGTTTGGCGGGTTGGAGTTCAAACACCTGGCAACCCTGATTGCACGTAGTGGTCGCGGGCGCGGCTTGCTGGCTGGCGCCGGGCGGTCGTGTTGCGAAAGGGAATTTGCTGTGGGCCGTGGCTGGTTTTGCTCACGAAAATTTGGTGCGCGAGGTGGTGCTTCAAGACGCCGAAGTCTACGCCCCTGCATCAGGATGGATACACCCATGTGCGAGGACTGACCAAAGTAAGACCGCTCACCACGAAGTATGACACGACGTTCCGCGGCAAGCCATTCCGGCAGACGAGAGATTTGTCATCGCGTTCTGTGATAATCGGGATGCCGTATTGTCCATCAAAGAGCGCCCGCTCCCGATCATTCGAATGTGAAGTTATAAACATCCTCAAGATCAGCGTGAAACTCCGTGGCGCTCACCTAGAATGCCTCGAACGGCCCAAAAACGGAACGATTCGGATATTTCTAGTTCGGAAAAAGTTTGGGTCGATTGTCATGACTGTTTACGGAAAGTCGCCAACGGCAAATGAAGAGAAGCGGAAGCTTTAATCAAGAAATAAAGTAATCGTCTCCACTTTCACCGTGTTTGTCGGCGCGTTTTATGACCAAAGAGCAAAACACGAAAACCGCGTCGCCAGACTCTGTTTGTCTGCGTATTTTGAAGTGTTTTGTTGACAACTCCAGTCCCACTAGGAAACAAGTTTCCTTGCCCCCGTGTTCTGCGTCGTGTCCGCCAAGTGGGACGGCGGACTTCGACAAACAGGCTGTCTGTCGGTGTCGTCTGTCGCTCGTTGTCGTGTGTCGTTGTCGTTTGTTGCTGTCTGTCGCTCTAGTGGGACGCGGCTAATAGAGTAAATTGTGCCAGAACGACCACAAAAGTATAGGTGATGTGTCTCTTTCCTGTTAAATTCGAACGATCGTTAGTGCCATGTGCCGTCAAACAAAATAGTTTCGCCTGCTCCCGTTCGCCACGGCGGCTCGTTAGCACGGCTGACGAAAATTTCATCCCACGTGCAGTTTACAGGATTCACGATCACTTCCCATTGTGAAAAGTCTTTGCAATAATTTTGTTTCACTTTTCAGACGAAGCTAAAAGTACCAGCTGGGATAGATAATCTCCTCCCGCTGTTCACGCACGGTCGTTCGGTCGGAATCGAGCGCCATCTTGTATCTCCCCTGAAGGCCTGTCCGAACCGGACATTACAAAAATCCCCAGGCGACACGACTCCTGCAGAAATCGTACAAATGTAAACGGACGCTTCAATTTTGACGATTTTTTGGGGCCAAGCCAACATTTCGATTTTTCTCCTCGCCTCATCCACTTTTCTTTGACGTCGGTGCTCGTCAAATTTGACGTCACACGCCACCAGCCACTGGTGGCGTGGTCCCGCGGCGCGCTGACCTCGCTACCGCCGTCGCCTCGGCTCGAAGGCCGAAGTGGTCCAGCTTCGGGTGGATGTGGAGGATTCTAGGCAGCCTCCATGTGCGCTTGCTAGGGTGATGCCACCCTTTGTAATACCGCTCGCAGACAAACCAGCAGCCATTTTGGTTCTTGGCGATTATCTATGAGGCTTATAACCCTCCCGGAAACAAGCACCTTTACTCACAAGTTCGAAGCAGTGTTGTGGAACCCACGGAGGGAGGATTAGCATTTCTTCCTCGGATGGGAGGACCGATGGACACAAAGGCCACTTTCCGGCGCACGGGGAACCAATGAGAGGAACAAAATGGCGGTGGAGGAGGGTGTGGGAAAGGGAAACAGGCAGTTGGCATCACTCTATGCGACGCGCACATGAAGGCACCCTAGGAGATTCCAGCGCCGATGCGTGCGTTTCGCTTCCCGCAGGAAAAGGGATTAGGGAGTTTTTGTAGACCTCGTTTCCCCCTCCGCTAAGCCCTCCGCAACGAAGAAGCCGCTACTGCGCCTGCGCGCCCATTGCCTTGACTGTAGAACTCCGGGTATCGTAGCGGGTTGCGGAGGGCGTTGTGGGACGGCGAAAACGATCTATGAAAACTCCCTATTGACACCGCCGTGTCATTAGACAGTTTTAGTGGATTGTAGGCTATAGCTTTGCGTACGCAAGGAAATTGCGGGTCGTGAGTGCGCATGCGCATAACGCAATAGACGGTCTAGCGTATTGCGTACGCACGCAACGCTGGGGTTTTGCGTGGTGGGCTAGCGGACTTTACGGGAAGCTCTCGAAAGATCTCGGGTGCAACGAGAGCGCCAGTTTCAAGATGGCGGTTACCTCGGCTGGCGCAGCTAGGGCAACGTGGTGTTCTCGAAGTTCTGTGTTATGTGAAATTGCGTGGTGTTCAGCTCGGCAATTCTTTCCGGGACCTACCCCTGTCTATTCAAATCGCCATGCAGCTGAAGGAGTGCACAGTGAAAATGTTCACTGCGCGCAATGTGCGTCAACGCTGCCATCTGCTCAACGCTAAGCTTATTCGCACAGTTCATCGCCGACGGACGAATGACTTAAAGAAATCGCCGAAGTTCTCGCTACGCACTGGATATCAGTAGGTCATGGATTTCATTCCGCGATAACATTGATGAAAGGCGCCGTTTCCACGGGACGATTGTCGGAGGCTCCGTGATCGAATTTGGCTACGCACTCGTACTCGTAGCCTTCGTACCCCGCAGAAAAGGGCGCTTGACGAGGCCGCTCCGGCTTGGTTCAACTTAAAATAAAATGATTGGACACGTTTTCATATTCAATATTTCTTTTCAGGAGCATGCTGCCGCTATAAGCACGCGAAATTCTACGGCTCTGGAAAATTTAACCACGATCATGCGAGGTGTTCACTCGGAAACGTAACGCACAACTAAATTCGGTCTGAGCAGGTCGTTTCTAGCGTACGCTATACTACTGCGTATTGCGTACGTAAGAACCAGCAACGATATACTAAAACTGTATATCCTTTTTCCCGTTTTCGGGACTTGGAAAACGACGGAGGCCTTGAGCGTGTGAGTGGCTCTCCGGACCCACGTGATGGGCAGACCAGGGCCGCCGGCCTTGATCTGCTCATCACAGCCGGAAATGGAGCGCCGAACGAGTTGTCGGAGTTGTGTCGCCTGACGATTTTTGTAGTGTCCTGTTTGGACAGGCCTAAGGTTGTCAACGATGTTGGCTGCGTTCCCGTGACGACTCCATTCGCCGGAGTGGGAGAAACGACCTAGATGCGCATCCCAAAGCCTTCAATGACTCGCGCGCGCGTGCTCGGTGGCGTCGGCGATCCGTTTGAGGACGAACCGTTCCTGTCGACACGACTTGCTAAAACTTCCGAATAGGTTAACGGGATAAATAATAAGAGGTTTATATTTAATTTCGCAAAGTGCACAAGCTATATCTAACACGGCACCGAGATC